AAATATTAACTGGGGCTGTTTCACTTCAAGCCACCTTATACCCACAAACAATATAGTAGTCTCAGGCTATCTAGTGTCTGAACATACACTTCAAACTTTTTAACTATTTTCCTTTAAAATGGTGTCCCTGTTCCCCTGCTCCACTTTTGCAAACGATGGTTTGCTTTTCTCTTCAGCCTCATTGAAAACTTCCCTCTCATGCTTCCTCACAATCTGCTAGTCACGTGAGTCACCTGTAGGGCAACATCTGGATGTCAATTTAGACATCAGCCACTCATGAGCAAGAGCTTCCCTTTCAGCTACAGGAGTATCTACCACATAAAAGACAAAAAAATGCCTCCAACATGAATTGTTTTGCAGAGAAGGCCATGGCACATCCTACCAGTGTCCTATGCAAACATTTATTCATACAGAAGCAGCAGAAGCTGGGGTTTATAAGGCCAGGCTCCAATTAGCAGAGTTGTTAGAGACTACAGTCTTCAGAGATACCCGCAAAAGCTAGTACGCCAGTGTGAAACAGGCAAACAAGTGGAAGAGAGTCGAGTCTGCCATGGTAAAGCCCCACCTACCCAACAGACTCCTCTCCATCAAAGATGTGGCAAAGAAGGTGAAGCTCTCCCAGTCACAGAGGAACAAAAAGGCAAAGCTTTGAAGCCTCAAGACTGATCATTCAGCTGCAAGGGAGGAGAACCTGCTTCCTACTCCCAGACCTCTCAGTATTTTAAACTTCTCTGACTCTTTTATAAAAGGCTACATTAACAGCCCTGGGTAACCAAAAGCACAAAGCATGAGATGAGATGATGGCTCCTCTGCAAAGAGAGCTCTTCCTGTTGGGCTTGTCAGTGACTTAGGCTCCTGGGTCCATAAATTTTTCAGTCTTTCTATGGGGAGCAAAGCTTTTTCCACCAAGTCATAACATAACAGCACTTGTCCAAGATGCAATTTCTTCAGGTTGGTAAGTGTACTGGGCTTAGGTAACCACTTCGTAACCACCAGGCTATTACACCCAAGGTAGCTGGAAGCGTAACACTGCCTCTCCCCTACACGTTAAGAAAGTGGCCACCACTGTGACAACAGGACTTTGAGTTCCACACTGAGTATCAATACAATTCACAGAAGCACTGTATTACTATCAGGTTTTTCAGAGGACTTAAGCATATGACTATGCAGTTTGAGACTCCCAGACTTAGATGTAAGACACAGCAAGCAATAGAGCAGCCAAAGCACTTGTATGCTCTGGGCCTATATGCCCTGGACGCACAGAAACATGCGGGTTCTCACATGCACCGTTACAGAAATATTTCACGGGAGTGCACTCAAGATGCCTCAGGTTCTACTTAGTGCCAGGTAAGCAAAGTGGTTATGTGGATTTGAGCCCATACACCAGACCAGGACCACAGTTCACTGCACAGAAGCATGGATATGCTCTCAGAAGTAGCTACTGACACTGCCCCTATTACAGCAGGAATGTAAAACCCATCTTTGGATGTAAAGGAAATTTTCAGGGAATTGGCTAATGAATGTTAAAGTGCTCCTCATGCCAAGGTACACCTATTCATAAGAAAAGCAAAAGGATAAACTTTCACAAAAGCCCTAACTCCTCAACATGTTGCTCCAAGGTATTCAACAGGTCACAGGATAGCAGAATTTTCACCTGTCCCCACAGTGGTTTGAAATCTGACATCGTGAGGGGAGGATGAGGTCTCTGCTGCTGACCAGGTATACCTAGAAGAAAGCCACACTGGCCAGTACAAGTTGCATGCCTTTATCCTGTGGGTGCTGTGTTAGCCCCAGATTGTTAAAGGAAACTCAACAAACTGCCAGACAGGGCAAGTTCCTGGAAGGAGACAAGCATGTGTTCTCAAACCAGAGCATGCATTTGTCACTCCCCAGTGAAAGCAGTGAAAGCATGACGCTGTCCATAGTACACGCTGATGTCAGCACGAACTGGCAGAGAGGCTTTACAAGAAGCCTTTTAGCTCAGTCAGAATCAGGGCTCAGGAAGACAAATGTACAGACACAGAGAGGGACACAGCGTCTTTACCGATAACCCTAATGTCCTTCACTCTCCTGAAATCCACAGTCTACTCACAGAAACACCTCAAATTCCCTTGCATCCACAATTTTGTGATCAGCATGTGAAGAACACAGGAGTTTAACCAATAATTCTTCCTATAGTTTTCTGCTATGAGGAGTGCTGGAAAGGAAAATTATAAGTACTGGTTTAGAAACTCTTATTCCTTACAGGACACTCAGAACAGGAGAGAAACACTGCACCCTTCTTAGCCCTTATGATTCATGAGACAGCATATACCCAGCCTCTGATCAGCCCAGGACTGAAGGTAGCCTAGCTTACAGCATTGATCCGCTTCGCTTCCAGGACACATTACAGATTTGCACGTGGGTGTTACAGACAGAAACATTTCTCTGCCAGGTGGTTTTAAATGAAAACTGGTGGCTGATTTGCTGAGACATCTGAATAATCAGAAAAACTCTTACTGAAGATAATAGGAAGGGACAGTGATGATATGCAACTTCTATAATATAGCCATGTCATCTGAAAAATACCACCGTGTATTTGTAACAAACCAAAATTATGGGAGTAAATTTCATCTCAAAATCCAATCATAAAAGAGTTATTCTCTGGAAAGATGCACCTAGCTCTTGTCCCAAAGAGGAAGTAAGTGCTCAGCATACAGAAAAGGCAAACGATCTCAGATAACCTAATGGCTCTCAGCAAGAATCAAATCATAATCCATATAAAAAACTCTTTGCTGTGACCTAATTTTTGAAAACCAAAGATGTAGCTAAAGTGACTACACAGGTTTGTAAGGTTCCCAATACATCTTCTAGCAATTCCTGGCTCTTTATTTAAAGAAAAAAATCTAGTTAAAAAGTCACTATTCGTCAGACCAATGGACAGCCCAGACTGTAATTCTCACAATTTGAAAGAACTGTCATAAGGAAATAAACTTTTAACTTTGGATACCACAAATCTTGAAGATGAGGTAATTTCAAGTTTGATTCACAAAATACAATTCCTGAGCTCTTCTAAATTTTTTATTTGAAGTGCCCTAAATTCACTTAGTAAAACTGCTTAAGATTCCCATAATTTCACAGAAGAAGTATCAGTCCAGGATTCAGAAATTCCAATGCAAAAGAGCAGAAGAAAAAAAAAAACAAGGGAGGTGGGGGGGAGAGAGGAAAATTTATCCTCTACTCCGTGTTAAAAGGAATAGGGCTGAGAAATTACCATCTCTACCAATAAAAGTTCATTCTTGCAGTGACTGTAAGATTTATAGTATTGCTCTACAACATCATCACAGAACCAGTAATCTTCTTCACAGAATAATAGCTAATATTTACAGGGAAGTAGCTGGGCTGGAGGACTAGGAATGGGAGAAGGATAAATGTAGTTCAGAGCCTCTGAGGTACTCTTTTATTTAATTTTCTTCTGATGAACAGAAGCTGAGGAGGGATCCTTCACTTACGTTCCCCCACACTGACTAATGCAGTTCATTTTCATGTTTCAGCCACCCCATCTCCACAGCCAGCCACACCCCAAGCGCAATGAACAGCAACAGCAAACTGAACTCTTCGTCCTGGACCGAGATCCAAACGTCACGCTTCCGACCAGCCCCTTGGCAATATGCAACGCTAGCAGCTGGGCCTCAAAACCCACTGCTGCAATCACCTCTAGTAGCCCCTCTGAAAATTCAGAGCCAAGCATGGCTGGGAAGAGACAAAGACAGCAATACACTGAAACACTGTCCAACTTTCCCATAGGGCCAGGAGCCTGCGAGGTTTGCTCTCCCCATCAATCAGAGAAAGGCCACTGGGAAGAGCGGGTACCTGCGTTGCTCCAGTGGGTATTTCCGATGCTGACAAAGGAGATACCCAGATCACGTCACACCTCTAGAGCATCCCTTCCAAACACAGGTGTACACAACTAGGGACACTGAGGTAAGGATACACCTGCCGTGGCAGGGAGGGTGTGGGTTAACGCCAGAGGTCTGCACTATCCCTGCCACCTCTCCTACAGTTCCCCCCTCAGGGCAAACAGGCCTGATGGGTACTCAGAAGAGGAGAAACCCTGATTCTCCTCCACAGGCCACAGCTTCAATCTGTTTATTCTCATCACTCGCAGCAGGCAATTCTGTAACGTTACGTTTGAAGCCTCCTATTGACGGAGGAAGCCAGAAAATGTGGTCACATGCGCGGTTTGGCAAGGAGGGGGAGATAAGGTTCAAGAAAGGCTGTGGGGACCTGGCTTCCAAACATGGCACCTCCCCACACACCTTCCCATGCCGCCGGCAGCGGGACAAACCCGCTACCCCTCCGTCCCGCCACCACGTACGCACGCACGCACGCTTCCCCTCTGTAACGAGCGGTGCGACTAATTGCATTAATTTCCTCAGGTCGAACGCCCCGCTGAACCCGCAGCGAGCTGTCCCCCAGCCGCTGCGATCCCGGGAGGCCAGCTCGGGGGGCGGCGGTCGGGGGCAGTCGCCTCAGCCCCGCGTCGGGCAGCGGCTGCCGAGCCAGGCGGTGGCAGCACGGCGGCGGCGGAGGCTCCCGCACGCAGGGAAACCCCACCCAGCGGCCCCTCCTGAGAGAGGCGGGGTTCTGGGGACCCCAAAGGAATCCCACCTCACCCCTCACTCCCCATGGTGGGGTTTCCTCCCGCCTCTTTCGCCCGCCGGCTCCCTCGGGGTGGGGAGGGCCGCCGTCCCGACTGCGTCCCGCTGTGCCGGGCTCCCCCGGCAGCTCTGCCTCGGAAGGAGCTGCCCGGGGTCGGGAAGGACGGTCGGGGAGGAGGGAAGTTATGGGTCAGGAGCGGAGCGGGACCAGGGCCCCGCAGCGCCGGCCATGGCAAGGGGTCCCTGCGGGGCGGCCCTGGGCAGCGGCCGGCTCCGGCTGTTGGCAGCGCCCGCTCCCGCCCGCCGGCGATCGGCGCATGAATGAGTGCCTGAATGAATGAATGACTGGCGTCTGCTTACTTGAGCATGGCCTCTTCTTTCTCCTCCTCTTCTTTCTGCCGGTCCATCACTGCCATGATAATGTTCCTCTCCTCCTCTGTCAGGTGGCTCAGGTCGGGCAGCTCCTGCATCGGGGGGGGCACCGTAGGCGGGCGAGGGCCGCGGGGCCCCACCGAAGAAGACATTTTCTTGCCGCCTCTCCCTTACACCTTCTACCTTCGCACAGCAGCCCCGGCCAGCCTCTCCTCCGCCCCCTTCTCACAGTGTAGTCCTCCGAGCAGCAGCAGCCGGCAGCTCTCGAGCAGCAGCGGAGGAGGCGGAGACCCAGCCTTTCATGGTTGCTCGCATCCACCCCGGCCCGGCTCCTGCTGCTTGCTCCCTTTGTTTCCTCGGTTCAGGGAGCTCGGGGGCTGCCGTTCCGCCGCCCGCAGCCCATCCTCCCGGCGGTGGGCGTGCGCGGTGGGGGTGCCGTGGCGCGGAGGGCTCCGGTCGCCGCTGGCGGGCTGCGTGCGGTAACAGGGGGCGGTGCGGGCCGGCAGGGAAGGGCGGGTGCTGCCGCCGCCGCCGCCGCCGCCGCCGAAATGCTCCGCTGCTGCGAGCCTGGGGCTGGGAGGAGAGAGGGGATGGGGGGGGGGGGTCGGTGCCGGTGAGGCGGAGTCCGAGGCGCGTCGCCGCTGCCTGCCCCTGCTTGGGACCTGGCCGGCCGCGCCACTCCCCGCCTCTCTCGCTCGTCCCGCGGCCACACGGTTACGGAGCTGGCACCGCCGTCCTCATCACGTCTTCCCGGAGGTTTTCGTGCCGCAGGTCAGGTCCGGGAGCTCGCCCCAATCCCTCAGGGCTGCCGTCTACGCCCTGGGCAGGGGCTACCCGCTGGAAGGGGGCGGCTGCCTCGGAGCTGTGCTGCGAGCTCGCTGAGGGCGGCCTGAGGCGCCGGGAGAGCCCTGGGCTACCGGTGTTGTGCTGCTCCCTAGGGCGTGAGCCGTGCTAGCCCCAGCCCCCGGGATCAGCTCCAGCTGCAGCCTTGGGCAAGCACTGTCACCACTCGAGCGTCCCTTCTCTGGGATCCCACCATTCAGCACCTTCTTCATCTGCCTCTTACACTCAGGCAGTGGCACACATGCCATGATCTCTCCATGCTTCCTTGGGGATGGCGAGCGCTCTTAACTGCTTGCGGATCCATATTTTCACTGCTCTGACCCACCAAAACCTGCCATGAAACATGCCACAGTGCCAACTGAGGAGATAGTGCACCACGAAACAAAACTTCAGTTCCAGGCAGACATAGCTTTCCTATCGACTTTTGATCTCTCAGCTCTGAGCAACTTGATTTTTGGGGAGCTGGCAATGAACACACCAGCCCTTCTCTACAGGAGATCATCTGCATGTAATCCACTGGGCAGGAGCTCATGCCTGTAGCTCTGAAGGGTCCCTTGCCCAAACGCATGCCAGTCACTGAATGAAATCGTTTTAGCTATGTAGAAATGCAAAGCTGAGAAAACTGCACTGTCAAATAAAATGTGAGGTACCACTAACATACACTGACATGTAAGACCTCTCAGTCACTTCTATGACCTTCTGCCGAGGTCACAGCATGGAAACAACTCTTGTTTCTAGAGAGATCGTCTGATGAGCATGAACCAAGGGGAAAAAAAAATCTATGCTGGCAGTGTTCAATGCTTCTTGCTGCCAAACTTGCCAGGTTTGGAAAAGGGAGAGGGACCAGCTTTCAGCCAGCCACACTAATACCTCTCACACAAATTCTGAGGGCTATGAACCTTTGTGACCCCTTGAATTTGAGAGTAATTACTGTGGCCATCTGTTTGTGTCCCCCAAGAGATTTTCTGCAGGACACAATTTGATAACACAGATTAAAAAGAAACAAGATAGGCACTACTGTGACCACCAGAACTTCTCAATGATAATGTTCATCTCGTCTGAGTGAAGTCTCTCAACTCTTCCAGCACATGAAGGAAACTGAAACTTGAATGACCGACAGATGGCTCAGAAGAGATTAAAATGGTGTTAATAAGCAAGGCACTACGAAAGGCTGGTAAATATTATAATGTCACACTCAGTTAAAGACACACACCCTCTGCTAACTCAGGTGGTGATTTTTCCCAGGGCCTGGCCATATTATTACTGCTAGATGTAATCCTTCTAGCTGAGTACTAACAAATCAATAAAATCACTTCCCGCCATCTGCGACTGGCAGGGAAGATAGCCTTCATGTTCAACCCTGATGCTAGAGAATTTATCTGTTCATTACCAACAGGCAAACGTACGGCGGCCGTCTCAAAACTGAAGGAAGCAAGACCGAAAAGAATATGATGATGATAAGAAAGTGAGGTACCACCATATGTTTAATATCAGAAACAACTAAAACATAACATGACTGGAATGGTAATACTAGACACCGTGATTATGTTATAGGTGTCCATAGGTAGTTCACACTCCTTCAGATAATTTAGGCATGTACACACTATCCAAGAGATGTAGCTTAAGTAATTGCAAGAACTGATTCACTACAGCAGTGTATTGAAGAGCTGCTTCTTTAAGCCCAACCTAAACAAAATATTAAAGGTCTAAGATCGTAAGACCCAAGTGTCTCCAAGACAATTTTATGAAGAAAATATGACATCAGGTTAAGTTATCATACTCACCTTTCTGCTTATTAATTTCTGACACAGTCACGTGTATGTCTGTTCTGTATTATTGTGTTAATTTCTGTGTTCTCGGTCAGGCACATGAATTCTTACTGCTGTGTGTGTAATACAAAATCAATACAAAGAATATGAGGGGATTTTATGTATGGTTTCTGAAAACTTAAAAAGGAAAGCTTAAAGCTCTTGCAGAATAATGGTTAAAAAAAAACTATAGAAGTTGGAGTGTGGTCTTGCATGAAGTCGGTATCGTAAATAAAACTGTGCTACTGAAAAGCGCAAAATCATTTGGGTTGGAAGGGACCTCTGGAGGTCATTTGGTCCAGCCTCCCTGGCCAGGATGGGTCAGCTAGAGCAGGTTGTGCAGGACTGCATCCAGATGGCTTTTTAATATCTCCAAGGACAGCGACTCCACAGCCTCTGAGCAACCTGAACTAGTGTTCAGTTACCCTCACAGTTAAAGTGGTTTATCATGTTCAGACAAGACCCACTGTGTTAGAGTTTGTGCCCAATGCCTCTTGTGCTATTGCTGGGCACCACTGAGAAGAGCCTGACTCAGTCTTACTTACACCCTCCTATCAGATATTTATTCACATTGATAAGATCCCTCTGAGGCTTCTGTTCTCTAGGCTAAACAGTCTCATCTCTCAGCCTTTCTTCATATGACATGCTCCAATCCCTTAACTATCTTCATCACCCTTCACCTGACTTGCCTCAGTATGTCTTTCTTGTACTGGGGAGCCCGGAACTAGACTTAGCACTCCAGATGTAGCTTCACCAGTGCCAATGGGAAGATTCATTTCTCTCATCTGTCTGGCAATGCTTTTCCTAATGCCTACAAAGTCTTAGGAACAATAAAAGATTTTACATTATTTTTCAAAAAGACTGTAGAATTTACTAGAGAGATATAGAAGAAACAATAAAAGTAATCTCATTTTTCGTAGGGCTACATGAAGGGACTCAGCTTTTACTGTCACTACTTCAAACCTTTAGTGGTCATTTTCTGATTTGCCTACATTTGCTTTGTAAAAATGAAATAGCCGACATTGTGATCCAACCAACAATGTGTAGAAAGCCCAGTTCAGTTCAACACATTATATCCTGAAGCTGGAATGATACAAAAGAGCCTTGAAGACAATTTCATTGCCTGGTTAGTAAGAATGCCCCCTGCTTAATAACATTCAAAGTCTTGTCACTGACAGACATCCTATTAAATCCATTTTTTCTGAAGACCTATCTAGGGAAAACTGCTGTGAAATCTAGAAATGAAATTATCATTATAGATACTGTAACATATGAGGTAAATTACTTTCTAAAGCTTAGAGAAGCAAATCATAATGGAATCTGTGATCTTTTCTTCTCAGTTCGTAACAAGCATCCATATATGCCCCATGCATGACAGATGCACATTTCTTTATGATTCTAGACCATCCATCAATCTTAGCAACTTTCCTTTTCCCCCATATCTTCGTTTCAAGATTGTCCAAAGGCCACATTCTAATTTTCTCAGTTCCACCAATATGCCTTTTTTAAGCTCTTTTCGATAGCCTAGCTGTGAGCAGTCACGATTGTCTGTTTTCTTGCTTGAGGCAAGCTGAAAGGAGACACTGTAAACAAAAAATTCAGAGAGTTTTCCAGTAGGTTTCTTCCCTGGAAGAGGGATTCAGACTGATGGAAGACTGTGAATAGGGAAAGCTGAGGAGGAAGAGTTATTGATCTGAGGAGGTGGCGGTTTGCTATATGAGGGACAGTCATGAACGGTGAAATAGCATCAAGGGCTCAAAGGGATTTCTCACAACAGGTTAGTAAAGGTTGGATGCTGTGACTTCTTTCTCACTCAAGAAGTTGTTCAATGAATTTAAAAATTTCAAAGACAGACCACATTTACAGTAAAATGTCTTCTATTAATGTATCATGATTTTCAAGAGCAGTTTTTGTTTTGGCATCTGACTCATGATTTTTCACTTCTTTAAGTTTGGTGGTACGGCAGTATTTTAAAAGAGAGAAGGTCATAGCTAGCTCTAGCATGAGAAGAAATGGTAACAGTCCTTTTCAAAGCAGACAAAAACCCACTGGCACAAAGGGAGTTCATTTCAGGTAGGGATTTCAGAGTCTGTTCTGGACAAGATCTGTTATTATGCATAATTTTATAATGAGTGCCTACGTGCTGCTGTGATTTGTGTTTTTGAAATGTTCTTGGACAGGAGTCTTGGTCTTCTTTTAAATACATTTTATTAAAAAAAAAAAAAAGTAAAACCCAACCTCTAAACAACAAATGAGCAGTTCCATGAGCAGCAAACCTTGTAGAGCCAGGTTTTGAATGACAGCTTTGGATTCTCTTGTGTCAAATAAGGCAGCTGAGTTCACATTTCCACCTGTCCTTTAGTGGGTGCAAAAAATCTGAGTCTCCCCTACCTGGCTGCTGACTTCCATAAAACCTGCAGGAGCTCAGTGTTTTTAGACCTCTCCCTTTTTGTCAGGCTTCTCTGAAATTGGTCAAGAGATTCAAATGCTATTCCTGGAGTACTGACAGAAGAACAGTGTGATTGCATAGGTTGGTTTCCTAAAAAAAAAAAAAAAGAGAGACTAGAAACCCTGTCCCACCCCCATAGGTCTCTAATTATTCCCTTTGCTCTTCTCAGTTCCTCCTGTTAAGCTGTGTATTTCTGGCATGGCAGTTTCCAGAAAATCATCCCATCCTTCAGGTGCAGCTTGCCAAAAATGCATAAACAGGAACTGTCACCTTCCTCCTCCATGACATGATGCTTCTGTATGTGCAGCTCTAAATCATACACCCTTTTAGGTGTAACAGTGCATTTGCAAACCCCGATCAGA